GGTCAAGAGGTCGCCATTTGTGTCACCAACAGATTCCTGTTTGAAGGCAAACAACCACGTTTTAGTCCAAAAAACTCGTGTTTTGAGAAATAGGAGGAGCCAGCGGCGACCTCTTGGGTGCTGGTTAAAGTTAGACTTGAGGAGTTCATGGAATCATGGAATGGGTTGGGTCGGGAGGGACCTTAAAGCTCGTCCAGCCCTGGGCAGGGACACCTTCCACAGCCCGGGAGGTTCCACCCGGGTTTCCATGGAAAAACCTTTCCCAGTTAAACCTTCCTGGAGCCGTTTAAGGCTCGGGAGGAAAATCTCAGCTCAGGCCCTCGAGCTTTGCTGCCCCAACTGGGACGATCCAGTCCCTGTTTTCCCACAGCCCCCAGTCCAAACGAGCACTTTGGAAAGGCCTCCAACGCCTTTCTCGTAGCGTTGAGTTGAGTTGAGTTGAGCTGAGCTGAGCCGGCGGCGGCTCCGAGTCAACGGGGCGGGAGCCAAAGGGAACGTTCCGTCGGTGACGTCGGGTTCTTCCCTCGCTGCCAGACAAAAAAAGGGGTGAAGAGGAAAGCAGACACCACGACCCCCACCACCATCGACCCGATCCACGACTCGTCGTCGCTGCCCGCCGAGCCCAAGTCCGCCAAGCTGGGCCCGCGGCGGGAGAGCGGCCGCCCCGTGAAGCCTCCAAAGAAGGACGTTCCCGACTCGCAGCAGCACGCGGCGGAGAAGAGCAGCAAGGTCTCGGAGCAGCTCAAGTACTGCGGCGGGATCATCAAGGAGATGTTCGCCAAGAAGCACGCGGCCTACGCGTGGCCCTTCTACAAACCTGTGGACGTGGAAGCCCTGGGGCTGCACGACTACTGCGACATCATCAAGCACCCCATGGATCTGAGCACAATCAAAGTAAGCTCGGCCTTGGGGCAGAGGGGGGTGTTCAGCGGGAGCACGGCGGATTTGGCCTCGTGCCGAGTGCGACGTGCCGGCTCTGGCTCGGCCGCGGGGTTTGGGGGCCTTTGGGCTCTCCTTCTCCTCTTGATTCCCTGACTTTGGGGAAGGACAAATGCCCCGGCTCCGTGAACCGACCGACAACCCAGAATCCAGAAATTTGGGTGCCTCTGAGGGGGTTAAATTAAATTATCCCTTAAATTGTCCCTTAAATTGTCCCTTAAATTGTCCCTCTCCCAAAGTTTTGTCCTTCTGTCGAATTCCACGTTCCCAACTGGGAACCGACCGAAAACCCAGAATCCAGAAATTTGGGTGCCTCTGGGGGGGTTAAATTAAATTATCCCTTAAATTATCCCTTAAATTATTCCTTAAATTGTCCCTTAAATTATCCCTCTCCCAAAGTTTTGCCCTTCTNTCTTTTGACCAAAACACGTCCTTCTTTTGACCAAAACCAGCCTTTCTTTTTGACCAAAACAAGGAGTTCTTTTGACCAAAATTGGTGGTTCTTTTGACCAAAATCAGCAGTTCTGTTTGACCTAAACTAGTCTGTCTTTTTGACCAAAACAAGCTTCTCTTTTGACCAAAACAAGTCACTCTTTTGACCAAAACAAGTCACTCTTTTTGACCAAAACAAGCATCTCTTTTGACCTAAACTAGTCACTCTTTTTGACCAAAACCCGTCGTTCTTTTGACCAAAACAAGTCACTCTTTTGACCAAAACAAGTCACTCTTTTGACCAAAGCTAGCATCTCTTTTGACCAAAACAAGTCACTCTTTTGACCTAAACTAGTCACTGTTTTTGACCAAAACAAGCCTCTCTTTTGACCAGGTTACTCTTTTTGACCAAACCCCGTCGTTCTTTTGACCGAAACACAACATTCTTTTGACCAAAACCAGATTCTCTTGGACCAAAGCAATTTAGTTCCTCTGCATCAAAATCAGTTGTTCTTTCTGATGGAACTTGGTGGTTCTTTGACCCAACATTAGTTTGCCCCCGTGACCAAAACCAGTCGAAAGAGCCCCGTGAAATCCGTCCCGTCGAACGTTCTGGCAGAGGCTTGTCTTGTTTTTTCTCTCCTCTCCCCCCTAGTCCAAGCTGGAGAACCGGGAGTACCGGGATGCTCAGGAATTCGCGGCCGACGTGCGGTTGATGTTCTCCAACTGCTACAAGTACAACCCCGCCGACCACGAGGTCGTGGCCATGGCGCGGAAGCTGCAGGTGAGGACGCGCCCCTTTGTCCCCTGTCGGGGCCTCTTTACCCTTGGAATGACATCCCAACCCACCCCAGTGGTGAATAACGACCCCGAACGACCCTTTTCCCCCTGGAAGTGCTGCAGGAGCTGACCTGGATCCGCCCAGTTCCCTCCTCTCCGCTGGGTTGGGTTTCACGTTGCCTTTTTCCCGTCCCTTAGTTGGTGGTGGAGGAGCAGGAAGGCGAAGCGCGGCTCCAAAATGTCCCTTTTTCCCCCCAAAATGTATAAAGAGGAAACCAGGGGCTGTTCCTGCTGCTTTAGGTCCCTCTCCAGTCGCTCTCCCAGGCGAGTTTTCCGCCCTCTGCTCGTTTCTGAAGGGTCTGTGATGAGTTTAATGAGCTCCTGGTGGATCCTCACGGCTCCAGTGAAGGCTTTGGCTTCACACGCGAGCTCCGGCGCTCCCAACAACCACCTGGATTCCTTCATTTCCTGGGAATTCTGAGTTTCCGTGTGGCTGAAGCAGGAAAAACACATCATTCCACGTGTTCTGAGCTCCATTGCTCCTGAAAACCACCTGGATTCCTTCATTTCTTGGGAATTTGGAGGTTCCNCTACTGCGACATCATCAAGCACCCCATGGATCTGAGCACAATCAAAGTAAGCTCGGCCTTGGGGCAGAGGGGGGTGTTCAGCGGGAGCACGGCGGGTTTGGCCTCGTGCCGAGCGCGACGTGCCGGCTCTGGCTCGGCCGCGGGGTTTGGGGGCCTTTGGGCTCTCCTTCTCCTCTTGATTCCCTGACTTTGGGGAAGGACAAACGCCCCGGCTCCGTGAACCGACCGACAACCCAGAATCCAGAAATTTGGGTGCCTCTGGGGGGGTTAAATTAAATTATCCCTTAAATTATCCCTTAAATTATCCCTTAAATTGTCCCTTAAATTGTCCCTCTCCCAAAGTTTTGTCCTTCTGTCGAATTCCACGTTCCCAGCTGGAAACCGACCGAAAACCCAGAATCCAGAAATTTTGGTGCTTCTGGGGGGGGTTAAATTAAATTATCCCTTAAATTATCCCTCTCCCAAAGTTTTACCCTTCTGTCGAACTCCACGTTCCCAGCTGGGAGGCTGACGGGGAGGAAATGTGGGAGCTGAGCGTGGGATCCTGGATCCAGGTGGATCCAGGGATGAGAGGGACAGAGGAACCTCAACCCTCTGGAGTTTTCATTTTTTTTTTTTCCCCCTCTTAGGAACGCTGAAATTTGGTTTTTTAGGGAAAATCTCTGTCATTGTGTGAATCTCCCCGTATTTTAGCCCAGGAGAGACCCCAGAGCAGAAATCCTGGGAATGGGGGTTTGATTGAAACCAAACCCATTTCTAATCCCTTTTAAAACACAGGCTGGTCTCTCTCAAAAGTTGGTCTTCTCCTAAGCTCGGGGAGAAGAACCAAAACCAGTTGTTCTTTTGACCAAAACACGTCCTTCTTTTGACCAAAACCAGCCTTTCTTTTTGACCAAAACAAGGAGTTCTTTTGACCAAAATTGGTGGTTCTTTTGACCAAAATCAGCAGTTCTGTTTGACCTAAACTAGTCTGTCTTTTTGACCAAAACAAGCCTCTCTTTTGACCAAAACAAGTCACTCTTTTGACCAAAACAAGTCACTCTTTTTGACCAAAACAAGCATCTCTTTTGACCTAAACTAGTCACTCTTTTTGACCAAAACCCGTCGTTCTTTTGACCAAAACAAGTCACTCTTTTGACCAAAACAAGTCACTCTTTTGACCAAAGCTAGCATCTCTTTTGACCAAAACAAGTCACTCTTTTGACCTAAACTAGTCACTGTTTTTGACCAAAACAAGCCTCTCTTTTGACCAGGTTGCTCTTTTTGACCAAACCCCGTCGTTCTTTTGACCGAAACACAACATTCTTTTGACCAAAACCAGATTCTCTTGGACCAAAGCAATTTAGTTCTTCTACATCAAAATCAGTTGTTCTTTCTGATGGAACTTGGTGGTTCTTTGACCCAACATTAGTTTGCCCCCGTGACCAAAACCAGTCGAAAGAGCCCCGTGAAATCCGTCCCGTCGAACGTTCTGGCAGAGGCTTGTCTTGTTTTTTCTCTCCTCTCCCCCCTAGTCCAAGCTGGAGAACCGGGAGTACCGGGATGCTCAGGAATTCGCGGCCGACGTGCGGTTGATGTTCTCCAACTGCTACAAGTACAACCCCGCCGACCACGAGGTCGTGGCCATGGCGCGGAAGCTGCAGGTGAGGACGCGCCCCTTTGTCCCCTGTCGGGGCCTCTTTACCCTTGGAATGACATCCCAACCCACCCCAGTGGTGAATAACGACCCCGAACGACCCTTTTCCCCCTGGAAGTGCTGCAGGAGCTGACCTGGATCCGCCCAGTTCCCTCCTCTCCGCTGGGTTGGGTTTCACGTTGCCTTTTTCCCGTCCCTTAGTTGGTGGTGGAGGAGCAGGAAGGCGAAGCGCGGCTCCAAAATGTCCCTTTTTCCCCCCAAAATGTATAAAGAGGAAACCAGGGGCTGTTCCTGCTGCTTTAGGTCCCTCTCCAGTCGCTCTCCCAGGCGAGTTTTCCGCCCTCTGCTCGTTTCTGAAGGGTCTGTGATGAGTTTAATGAGCTCCTGGTGGATCCTCACGGCTCCAGTGAAGGCTTTGGCTTCACACGCGAACTCCATCGCTCCCAAAAACCACCTGGATTCCTTCATTTCCTGGGAATTCTGAGTTTCCATGTGGCTGAAGCAGGAAAAACACATCATTCCACGTGTTCTGAGCTCCATTGCNTGAAGCAGGAAAAACACATCATTCCACGTGTTCTGAGCTCCATTGCTCCTGAAAACCACCTGGATTCCTTCATTTCTTGGGAATTTGGAGGTTCCCTGTGGTCGAAGCAGGAAAAACGCATCGTTCCGTGTGTTCCGAGCTCCAGGGATTTCCCACCACAGAACCCCTGCAAGGGGTCAAAACTGTCCAATGTTTGACTTTTAACCCAAATATTCCAACACAGCTCCTTAAAAAAGCCCCAAATCCGTAATTCCAGGCACTTCATTCCCTTCAATCCCGATTTCTCCTGGTTTTTTTGCCTCGGCAGGATCGTGGGCGCGGGTGTCGTTTTCTAAAGCGATTAATTAGAGGGTTTTTTTAATAATTCTGTCCAATTCTGCGCTTGATCCAACCGAGCAGCCGGAGCTGCTCCCAAATCCCCCCAAATCCACAGGGATTTGTGTTCAAGATGCCAAAAAGAGGCTTCAGCCCTGGAGAGGGCGGGAGGCAGGACGGGTTTGGAGAGGACACAGGAAGCAGATCCGAGTGGGAATTCCCATTGCAGTGGGAAAAGCTCAATTCCAGCGGCGTGGAAGGAGGAGGGAATGGGCGTGGAAGGAGAAGAAAGCTCCTAAAAACGGGGGGAAAAGCTGTTAAATCAGTAGGAAAACTCCTAAATCGGTGAAGAAAACCCGGAATAAAGGCGGGAGGAGGGTGAGAAACAGTTCAGGAGGAAGGGGGGAAAACAATCCATGGCAAGGTCAGGGAGAGCCCAG